TATTTTAATAAATACTAAAAATACTTATGTCATTTAAATTATATATATATATATATATATATATATATATATAGTATATGCCAAGCAGTTTTTCTTCATTCACCAATTCATTACCAAATCTATTCCCAGTGTACCTCTGTGGTGCTTTGGCCTCTGGTGACGCTGTAGAGAGAGGGAGGGGTCTTGGAACTGGGAATGGGATCTGGGATAAATGTTGCCATTGTTGGGGGCGTGTCCTCTCTTGACTGATTACACTCAATAACAGCATCAGCCTCAGCGCGTGGCGACAGGGGTGTGGTTCTTTTAGTGGGCGTGGCCAGAATTGTCACTCTGTGACCCGGTCTCCTCTTTTTGGAGATGGAGGTTCGGGATGAGAGCGAGACCTGGGAGCCCTGTTTGCCCTGGGATCCTGAGAGTACAGCAGAACACGGGTGAATGCGGCTGTACATGTGTTCAGTTCAGTTTGAGTGTAGTTCTCTTTGATTTACCTCTCTGAGTTTGGATTAGTTTCCTCATGGTACGTAACTCCAGCAGAATGGCCTGCAGGGTGCTCTTGCAGTTGCACATACAGCAGCTGGGCTCAGTTGCCATGGCAGCAGGCACAGGGGGCAAGGCCATGTCTGAATCAGAACACACATCGTCAACACAATGGCCATCACTGATGATGTCTAACACCCAAAGGCTCCAAGCACCCGGCACAAAAGCCATCTGACTTACTGACTCCAGTGTGTGTGTGTGTCAGACTGACAGTAAGGGAGTTATTGTGTCTTTTTGTGTGTATACAGAAAGAAGACATTACGGGTTTGCTGTGTTATCCAGAGCTGTCTAGACACTTGCTGCTGCAGTGCCAGACTGCACATCTTTGTAGCCCACAGTCACATAAAACAACTTCCCCTTGAACAAATCCCAATGGGGGTTCAAGTGATATCTTCCTGTGTTTCTATGTGAAGTCATTTCAAGCAGAAGCATGGCTTCGCTGAGTTTAACACAAAAAACGAAAGAAAGAAACAGCAGAGCCACTAAAGGTATCCAACCTCATGATAAACCGTAGTAACTAGAGGTGAAGAGATAAAATAAAATTAGTGTACTAAAATTAAAATATAAAAAATAAAATAAAAAGCACTAAACTATAAAATAAGATAAAATAAAATAAAATAAAATAAAATAAAATAAAAAATAATATACAATGCGCTACATTAAGCGAACAGATAGAAAAATACAGTGGCCCAAATTTCTCATATCTACAATGTCTCAATTTCACTGCATTAGATTTTGAAATTGTCCAACCAAGTGGCATCTGCAACCAAATGATGCTATGATTTAATAATTAAAAAAAAGATATATTAATTGTTTTACCTGGTAATGATGAATTGAGTGAATTAAGTAAATGGGTAAATTGAGAAAATGTGCTGGCCATAAATATTTGTTACAGAACATAAAACTGTATTTTGCATAAATAAATAAATAAAACAGCATTTCTGTTGCTCAAACAGTAAAGCACAACCATAGCAATGCCAAGGTCATGGAAATGTGTGAACTAAGAAAATGTTTATCTTGAATGCAATGGAAGTTGCTTTGGATAAAAGTGTCTGCATGTAAATGTTATCATTTAACACCTACCAAACTTCTTTTGTGAAATGTTTGCTTGAAAAGTGTGCTTGTGCTATATTTATTTAAAATAAATGCCACTTATTTTGACAACTTGTTATCTAATGCAATGCATTTGTCATTGAATTCAAATTCATACATTTTAAAGCATGACTTCAATGTCCAAATATGTTTTGGGGCCACTGCATATAAATATAATCATAGTGTGAGGAACACAGCTAAACATGCTTTGTTTTGCATTTGACAGATTTTGCTCACTTAACAAACCTTCTGAAGGTACTGTAATAAAATCGCTTCATTGTTTAGAGACTCACCATTAGCTTTCGAGTGGTTGAGCATTCTCTGGGTTTTGGAGCGGGTGCCGTACTGCCCGTGAGTCATCAGGACTGAGCTCCAGCCATACTGGAGATGTTCAGGGGCCAGGCTCTGAGCCACAGGCAGGCTGAGCGCCTCCTCCTGAGGCTCCTGTTTGAGGGTCTCACCCTCTCGTCCAACGCGCTGGTACACTCGTCCTGTCTTGTCACTCAGCAAGTGCATCATGCCTGTTATCTGCTTCTTTATCTCCATCCCTTTATCACCTAACCAGACTGAGAGACACAGTTAACACACAGAGCCTGCACACAGCCATAAAGTGTGTTATGATGAACGACAGCTACCTTCAGTCTCAGAAGCATCCAGGGCATCTCCTTCAGTGTCATTCTGGTCTACATCATCCATTTCATGGCTAAAATCTAAATGAATCACAGCAGAGTTTTCACATCATTATGAGGTCATGACACAATTTCGTTTATAATGCTTTTTAGCCTTTTATTCATAGGAGAGTAGAGAAAAAAATATCTATCTATCTATCTATCTATCTATCTATCATCTATCCATCTGTCTGTCTGTTCACAATGTGAGATCATGTCAATGGCTTAAAAATATGCTTAACACTTCAGTATCAGCTTAATTGTACATGACTATTCTTATAAAAACTTCAAACTAAATTTCATATTTCATGATATATATATATATATAGTATACATGAAATTAATGTAATAAAAATGCAATGAATTTTGACATGACAATTAGATCTCTGATAACAGTATTTAAAATAAACAGTTTTTTTTATTTTCTTATTATTATTTGTTTTTGTATTTGTTTTATTTTATTTGTACCATTTCTTTCTCCCATACAGATATATACAGTGCTGAGGATAAAGATCACCCAAGACAAAATAAATTATTCACCATACATGAATGGTATAAAATCTATATCTGTTTTGTATAATTTAAGATTTTTTTTTTGGTCGGCTATATATATGATAACTTTTGTATGACAATGTACAGTGTAATATCCAGTGTTGGGGGTAACGCATTACAAGTAACGCGAGTTACGTAATCAGATTACTTTTTTCAAGTAACTAGTAAAGTAACGCATTACTTTTTAATTTACAAGACAATATCTGAGTTACTTTTTCAAATAAGGAACGCAAGTTACTTTTCTTTCCAATTTATTGATTGACAGCTCTCCTGTCCCCATGTTGAGAGAAATCAGAAGATGTTACTGTAGTTCTAAAATAAATATGAATATGCATTAATTCATCTCACTCACAAAAAACAGATTCAGTATTCCTCAAAATGAATAAAAATAATGCAACTCAGAATATGATGCAAACCTGCAATAATTAAATGTTGAACAACACAAATATAATTTATGTATTTAATCCCATTCTATTAACCAATGTCTTTGCTTCTGACCTTCGATGATCCAGTTCAACCATACTAATAAGCAAAAATTACTCTAGACGAACATTTGTGTCTTTTTTTATTGCTGAAGTGTGTTGAAACTTCTTCTTCTGCATTCTACTGTACGGACGTAAATTTACTTTCCCTTCAGCCTGAGGCTTATTCATTTCACTTTTGGTGTGAAAAGGCTTTTATAGTTGCCAAAAATATAACGTTTTTATTTTAAAAACAAACAAGCAAGCCCTGTCCAGATTTAAAAAGTAACGCAAAAGTAACGTAACACATTACTTTCCATAAAAAGTAACTAAGTAACGTAATTCGTTACTTTTTATGGAGTAACGCAATATTGTAATGCATTACTTTTAAAAGTAACTTTCCCCAACACTGGTAATATACTAGAATGGGTATCAGTCAAATTTCTGAAAGTGCATGCATTGATCCAACTCGGTTTTGATTAGGTCAGAGGGAAAAAAAAACTATTTAATTCATTTTTAATAGCACAGATATTTCATATAGGCTCTCAATTTGAACGAGCTGTTTAACATGCATCTATAATAATTATGAAAGCGTCTTAAAATACTTTTAGATGAAGTACAGCAGGACGCTGCTTGACATGTCATGCACTACTGGTGTGATGTCACTCATGACAGCAGCTGTATGCGTGACGTCTGTGCGGTGCAGATGTGATGAAGTGGTGCTGCAGGACCACCTGTAGGCTGCGCGACTGTGAAGAGCAGCAAACAGACCTTTATTATATTCCGTCACACCTGAACAAGTGCACATGGACAGACTAAACGCATTAGAAGATGACAATATCTGACTATGAACGTTGCCGAAAAACATGTGATTAAACAAAACGAATAATCCAAACGATTCGTCTTGTGATGATGCGAGCAGGACAATGAGGGAATGCTACATTGTATCACAGGTGCATTCCAGAGTGCTGACGTAACGCCTCCGTTGTGCTCTATTGTCTGCTGTCATCTGTCTGCTTACCTGCATCCTTCACCAGTTTAAAGCTCTGCGATTTCCTGCTCCGCTTCCTCTCCACAAACTCCATCTGAAGGGCAGAGCGGTGAAGAGGCAGAATCCAGCCCAGTTCATCAGCAGCACACAGGCTCTTTAATCACTGACAAACTCATTAAGTCCAGCTGATGCTGAACCTGAGCTTTAATAATAAGCGCGAGTCTCTCTGGACTGATGATGATGATGATGGTGGTGGTGAGGAAGAGGAGGATGGACTGGACGCGTTAACATTCTCCTGCGGGGCTGCTCGTTTATGATGTAAATAAATAAAGCTCTTAATTCTTGCAGAATTCGTCACGTCTATTCCTTTGCGCCACCTGATGGTCGCTAATATTTCTGGGACGCAAATATGAGGGTCCAGATTTACATTGGACAGACTGGAGGAAAATGACTCTAGAAGAAACTTTCCTATCAGTTTTGGCAGTCGGCAGTAATGCGTTGAAAAGTGTAAACTGTTTTTTCTTTCTTTTTTAATCATATCTGTGTTTTAATAACGGAGAACGGGAAGCAAAAGCGGAAATTAAAAAGAAAAAACAAGAAGATCATTGAACGTTATAATCTATAAAATATATAAAGAAATAAAATTAAACCTAACATTTATCCATTTAAAATAAACCTGAAATATCACCATAAAAAAAAATAATGTAGGCCTAGTGAATGACCGCTGTTCAGTTAACAAGCATTATGGACCAAATAAATAAAATGTAATTAAAATAAATGAAATAATTATTTTAAACAATCAACATTTCAATTCAACTAATATTCTTACTATAAAATAATACAGTATATGTTTAATATATGACATGAAGAAGATTCTGCCCAGCTAGTTTGAAAAAGATAAAGATACAAACTGTGTTCTTTCTTTTGTCATTTATATTGCGAATACAGAGATGAAGTTTGCGATTACGTGCACCTATCAAACTTTTTCCAGCGTTAGACTCACGTTTGTCCACTAGATGGCAGTAATGACTCAGAGTGATCTCCAGCAGCCAGCGGCCGAGAAACGGTGAACGGACGCGTCTAAACTGCTTCCCGTCGGATGTTTATGTAGAAAAGACACACACTTTCTGAAACAATCTTAATAGTTTTTGTTACCTATTGAGTTATGGACATCCTCAAAGCAGAGATCGCGAGGAAAAGAAAACACATAGAGGAGAAAGAGCTGGTCGATGTGAGTAGCGACTGTTCTAGAATACTACTATTAGGCCAGATCGGTTTAGACTTCACATCGCTGTGTTTTAGGTTCATGCTGTTGTGTGCAGATATGTGGATTGTGTAACGCTGTACTCGTGTTGTTTCTCCAGGACTCAAAGAAATACTTTAAACGGGCTGACCTCGCGCGTAAGGAAGAGGAGGAGTATTACAGGAGATGTGGATACAAGGTATAAACTCCAGCTGTGAATATAGACAACATTACATCATGATACATTGCTTCACTTACACATTAGTTAACGTTACTTCCATTTTTCTCATGAGGTTGAACACAGCTGCTCAAAAACACATTTAACCACACAGTATTTGTTGTGTAATCCGTTTAATACATTTTTAGTTTTCAAACTTTTAGCTGCCACGGACCCCCAAATATGAACGTCCTACAATTTAAAAGGCAACTACAACTATATTTTCATGTATAAAGACCCAATTGATGCAGTGAAAAATTAATTTGATATATGTAAAATATTATTTAGAAAATATTTCGTTTGTATTGTTACATTATTGCATTTTTTATTATATTAATATAGTATTTGTATTTATTCTAATCAATTTCTGTCTTAGTTTATTTTGTTTTTTTACCCTGTTTTTCTCTACCTTTCCACTAACTCTCTTGCGTCCCCCTTGGAGTTCCCAGACTGCAGTTTTAGATCATCTACTTGTCTGTCAGTCATCCGCTGTGGCTTTAAAAGAAATTAACTGTCCTATTAATAATGTGTCTTCCATCCCATACTCACTTGCTGAAAATGTACTTGTCCTGATGCCATCCAAGATGTAGATGAGTTTGTTTCTTCATCAGAAGAACAGATTTAGAGAAATGTAGCATTCCATCACTTGCTCACCAACGGATCCTCTGCACTGAATGGGTGCCGTCAAAATAAGAGTCCAAACAGCTGATGAAAACATCACAATAATCCACTCCAGTCCATCAATTAATGTCTTGTGAAGTCAAAAGCTGCATGTTTGTAAGAAACAAATCCGTCATTAAGACGTTTTTTAACTTCAAACTGTTGCTTCCAACTAAAATATGAGTCATCTATATTTTATTGTCTATATTTTAGACTCTTATTTTTAATGCGAGTCACTTCAAGTCCATAATATCAGTTCTTCCAGTGGAAAAAGTCCATTCACTGTTGTCCTTTTACATCAAAATATACTGACTTATTTGTTTAGAACTGTTTTCGCTTGTAAACAGTGCTTGATCTGTGCATATTTCTCTCCTGATTCAGACTGTTTGACTTTTTCACTGGACAAAGCAAAATTATGGATTAATGCTACATTTCTCGAAATCCGTTCTGATGAAGAAACAAACTCATCTAAATCTTGGATGGCCTGAGGGTGAATCAAATTGCAGCAAATTTTCATTTTTGGGTGAACTGTTCCTTTGAAAAAGCTCTTTCTCTCTAGTTCTCTTTTCATCCTGGAGTGGTGTCTTCTGTTTGCTGTGTATCTCTTCTCATATTCTCTTTCCTGCTGTCTGTGTGTGTGTGTGTGTTCTGTGAGTGTAGGTTTCTAATGAGCAGCCTGTGAGACAGGTAGGGCTCAGGCAGACAGAATGCATGCTGCCAGACAGATGTTTGACCGGGTTTCAGCATGACTTAAGAACATTTGTGTGTTTAATTGCCTTTGCTCCCAGTGTTGCACAAAGCTGGAGGCAGCACTATCTGAATTTTCAGCACAGCCGCATAATGATCACAGTAAAATCGGTGCCCTTATGTGTGACGGAGATGCCCACCCAGGAGCAAAGCACAAGTTGTTTGAATTCTAGATGCCTTGCCTGCTCTCATTTGTGCAATGCTCAATGTTTTTAAGCTATCTTATTTGGTTTTGATATTGCTTGCATGGTGTGTTAAATTAAAACCGGTGTCAAGATACAGCTTCGATGTCAGAGCATGGCCAGCAGGCTCATTATGGCAATTCATATATGCAATTATTTGCTGTTGACTCATTGCATCTTGGGAGAATTCTATGCACTCCTATTTATATAAGATTAGATGAGGATTTAAACATGCTGCATGATTATATGGAGAATTATTTGTTTTTGGTCTTTCATTTTGGAAAATCTTAAGTGTATGATTATTATTTTGCAAGCAGCCCTTCTTGATCTCACAATTATATGCTTTGCAGTGGTATCAGAATGATGTAACAGTCATTTTATTTTTTATTATTATGATTTTTTTTCAAGCTGGACAAGACTGAGGAGGAGGCACCTCCATCTACATCATCCAATCCTGTGTTAGAACTGGAGCTCACAGAGGAGAAGCTGCCAATGACACTTTCCCGACAGGAGGTGGGTCATCCAATCAGAGCTCACCTGATGAGGTTGTTTTTGTTCTTGGATGAATACTAAATCTTGTGGCTGTGTGCAGGTGATCAGACGTCTGAGGGAACGTGGCGAGCCCATCCGTCTGTTTGGGGAATCCGATTATGATGCTTTCCAGAGACTCCGGAAGATTGAAATTCTAGCACCAGAAGTAAACAAGGTAAAACCCACATCTCCTCTCGCCATCTTCACACTCTTGTCATATAGTGTACGTTTGTTTTCCAGGAATTTTTTCAAAATTTCCCTGCAAGAAATGTGCTTTCAAGAATATAGTATACTATATGATGGACTCATGCTGAATTTGACACACTATTTAAGGCTTACCCTGTCTGTGTGTGTGTAGGGTTTGAGGAATGATCTGAAGGCTGCCATGGATAAGATCGATCAGCAGTATCTGAATGAGATTGTCGGTGGAGCAGAGGGTGCTGAACTGGACACACAACACGATCTCAAAGTGCATGAAGAAAATACCACCATTGAGGAGCTAGAGGTAAACCCACACACACAAAGTTAGCTTACACTAATTCATTTCCTCATTTTTAACGTAAGAGTAGGTGCATCCATTTGTAAATATGCGAGGCTTCCAGTTATTTTAGCTGACAGACCTTTATGCTGCTTGACATTCTAAACTGATATTTGTTATCATTATTTTAATTTATGGTAATTAGAAACACTGGTTTGTAGTGCAAATAGTTTGTTATTCTTCTAATCTTTTACCTTTAGCAGATAATAAATAACAAGTCTTGCACATTCACAGAAAACATTTTACCTCCACATAGCAATACAGTTAGAGCACATCGATTCCAGAATCTGTACTAATGTGCCTGATGAGAAGTACTTCTATCATGGTCCCACTAGGTGGCACTATTGTCCTACATCTGAAATCTAATATTCTTCATAACTAGACCAGGGTTTCCAAACGGGTTTGTGTGTTGATGAAACACTAGTAATTAATGAAATCTCACAAATAATTTTTCAATAAAAACCATCAAAATAAAACACTTACTAAAAAGAATAGTTTGTTTACCTGTTTGTAATGCGACCATTAACCAACAACAGAGAGCAGTGGACGTGCAAATGTGGTGTTAAATTATTAAAAGGGGGTACTTACAAGTAAATCTTTTAGGTCAAAGGGGTTCGGCTGACAAAAAAGTTTGGGGAACCCTGAATTAGACTGTCTGGAATGGATACTAATGCTCCTATGATTTAAGTAGTTGTATAATATAACAAAAGATGTGATGCTCTATAACTGCTACATTCATTTCTAACAACATGTATTAAACAGGCTTTGGGAGCGTCTCTTGGCACTGGTGATGATTTTAGAGACATGGACATCATAAATAAAGTTTTACGGGTATGTTTTTCTTTATTTTTTTTAGCTGTGATTTTTAAAAATTCATTTTTTTTTGTATCCCTTTTGGAGTGTTTAAGTCTTGTACTGACTTTTGATAGTAATGCATTTAGACAATATTCTAATTTACTTTTGTTTTAAATATTAATGATTTAATGAGCATCTGATGCATAATTTAAAAATCATTTTATTTTGTCTGCTTGTATGTGTATTTTTAAAGTTAATTATGAAATTACATTTTTTTTTTTGTATGTTTCAACTTGCATGTAAAGAGTGGTCTTTTTAAAGGCGCTTCATCTAAAATAAAGTTTATTTTTTATTATAGTTCTTGCTAGGAGTGTGGGCTAAAGATCTAAACAGCCGAGAGGACCATGTGAAGCGTAGTGTCCAGGGCAAACTCGCCAGTGCCACCCAAAAACAGACTGAATCTTATTTGGAACCTCTGTTCAGAAAACTACGCAAGAAGGTATGCTGTTCTACAAGCTTTTATATATACAGTATTATTAGATAGAGACTCACAGGGTTCATTGTGTCTTCTATATATAGAATTTGCCAGCGGATATTAAGGAGTCCATCACAGACATCATAAAGTTCATGCTGGAGAGAGAATATGTTAAGGTATGTTGTTCTAATTGAAATACTTTGAATTTCAGTTTGTAATTGGTGTATTTGTGAGGAAACCTGACTAACACTCTGTGTACACGCAGGCAAATGATGCTTATCTGCAGATGGCTATAGGAAATGCTCCATGGCCCATCGGTGTGACTATGGTGGGTATCCACGCTCGTACTGGACGTGAGAAGATCTTCTCCAAACACGTCGCCCATGTGCTCAACGACGAGACCCAGAGGAAGTACATTCAGGTCTGAAATGACAGTATGAATAGAAGTGTGATATTACATTGTGTGCGTTATATTAGCGTTGTGATGTTCACCAGATCAGTGATCCGATCTTTTTTTTTGGTATTTTCAGGGGCTGAAAAGATTGATGACAATCTGTCAGAAACATTTCCCAACAGATCCCTCAAAGTGTGTGGAGTACAACGCTCTGTGACGTACTAATCACAGCATTCAAAGTCATGTCCTGTCATATTGAATAATGTATGGCTGTCAATCATTCTCTCATGTTGTAAATAAATGATTTACTGTAAATATACACCAATCTTGAGAACGCGTGGAGTCGTCGAGTGTTTTTTTTACTGTCGGATACAGGAGTGATCTTTTCATTACATTGACTGATGCTTGATGAACACTACAGAACCTGTAAATTCATGAACAAACCAAGAGAAGTAGGTCTGTTCCTTTACAGACAGGAAATATCCCTTTTAAAGGTGAATACCAAGACTTGCGATTTGAGTCAACATCGAAACATGTCCAAAAAATGCTAAAATCACATCTCATGACTTTATCTGACCTCTTGAGATGAGTTAAAGGAAGTCCTGAGTCACAGGAAGAGTTGACTGACTTCCTCACGCTGGGACCAAATCAGATTTCCTTGGATTTCCTGCTGACTGATGTGATTTACATCACATGATGACCAAAAATGTTGGGTTACACTTTATTTATTTTAAGGTGTCCTTGTTACAGTTTAATTATACATATAAGTACTGAGTAATATTAATTAACTACATGTACTTACTATATGGTTAGGGTTAGGATTTGGATTTTGGTTACTTGCATGCAATTATGCATAATTAATTGTTATTATAATAGTAATTACATGTATGTATAACAAGGGCACCTTAAAATAAAGTGCTACGAAATGTTGCAATGCAACATCAGAGGAAAAGATCATATTTTTGTGATGATATTTAAAATACTGTATATTACAAGTTAACTTATGAAAAATTATTTATCCACAAAAACCTATTTTTACTCATTTTGAAATAAAAATAGGTCACTACCTTAATACTTAACACAAAGATACAACAAAGGGGGGAAAACGGCAAAGCATTAAATCTAACTTGATTGATTTAAAATGCACAATATGCCATTAGCTAATCAAGATGCTGCTTTTCTTAGTAATATCCTTGTTTATCTCAGTATTAATATTCTTTGCTGTAATCATAATGACCTCTATATGTTCATTGTTTAAAATGTTGCAAAATATATATTCATAATCTCAGGTGTCATGATGACCCTACATTGGCAGAGACTCCAGCTCCCATCACCCCTTGCTGCAGTTTCCACGGTGATGAAAGAGTTACGCTCATAAACACACCAGTCCCAAACTCCCAGGACACAAACAATATACGTCCCTTCCTTCACACAGCATTCCAACACGCGCGCTGTTCTCACGTCTTGTGGGAGAAACGCACACATACACCAGTGTTGCCAAGTACGCGGGTTTCCCGCGGAATTGGGCTACTTTAACAATGTTGCCGCCGCGGGTTGAAGCGACCCCAATAACGTGACATTTTAGCCGCTGGACTGCGAATTTTACCAGGGGGACCCCACCAAAAAAACGTGTATTTTACCTCCCGGCGCGCGATTTTTACCGGGGGACCCCCCTCGAAACGCCATTGGGCTAGTTTTGGTTTTGAGTAGCAATTGGGCGGGATTTGTTGTGAAAACCTGGCAACCCTGACACACGCGCACTTTCATCACATGAGAGAATAACGGCTTCCAGCTGCTTGTGAAAGCTGTAACAGAATAAACTGCTCTGCTCCAGACCCTGCAGGGTTCATACAGAAACATTATTCTGGAAAAATGGGCTATGAAGGTAGAATGACGTCAAAAAGATTTGCATAGATTTATTTTTTTTACTGTATGTGTACTT